CCCCCCCTCCACAGAGCCACAAGCAGCCAGCGGCCTTCATCGTTACCCAGCATCCTTTGCCAAATACCATGGGCGACTTCTGGAGGCTGGTCTTTGACTACAACTGCTCCTCAATCGTTATGCTCAACGAGATGGATGCCGCCCAGGTACCGCAAGAACAACTTTGATCATTCCTTCTTTGCACAAAAAGACATAAACACAACAAAGGTCGTGATTTCTGGATTTTTTTTTTTTGTGCAAAGAGAAGTTCTCTTAGCTTGCAAATTGTATTGGGGTGTCATCATTTTCTCTGCTGCCCGAGAAAAACAACAACAGCCCGCAAATGGATTTGACTTGAAACGGGTCGGCCGAGGATAAAAAAAAAAAAAAAAAACGTCCGTTCATACAAACAAACATGTCTGACCCAATGCCGCGCTTTGTATACCAGCGGGTTGCCACTTGTCCTCCTCGCTCTCACCCCATAGCCGCTCGTCGACAACGGAGCCGGTCGCCGCATTGATCTCATAACAGGGAGCGGCCGCAGCGTGCGTTGGCGGCGCGAAGCTCGTTAGCCCGGAAAAATCCATCAAGTCGCCGCATCGGTGTTTAAACCGCAGCCCTCGAAGCGTGCGAGAAGTCCGGAAATGACGCTGGTGTTAATCTCCGGTCCAAAATCCACGGCGCGCGGGCACAAATTTGGTCGGGATTCATGCGGCCCTCATTTCTCTTCAAAGTGATTCTGGATGATCGAGGCGCCCTTGTGCACTCGAATTTAACAGCGCAACTAGTTGAAAGAATCCAGAGTCCGAAAAGAAGTCGGCGGCCCGCCTGGTCAGGCGCGGACACGATATGCGTGTCATGTGATTCATGCCATGGCTCCTCTTGCCAGTTCTTCACAATAACGGCCGCCCTGAACAATCGAAGGAAACGCAACAAAGAGAAATAACGCACGCCCCCCTTTTCCCCCACCCCCCTTCCGCCTCCCCTCTCTTGGGCAGCTGTGCATGCAGTACTGGCCGGAGAAGAGCTCGTGCTGTTACGGTCCCGTCCAGGTGGAGTTCATCTCAGCGGACATCGACGACGACATCATCAACCGCATCTTCCGGATCTGCAACATGGCCCGGGTACGAGTCTCTCCCATCATCTGTCCGACGAATCCGCAGCGTTGCCGGGCTCTCCCCATGTGTCGCGCGAGGAGGCGGCCAAACGTGAAATAGTGGCGATCGCGTCGACGCCGCTCGGGGGCAGAGGTGGAATGAGGGTGTTAACCGGAAGGTGGAGGACAGACCTTCGCACGTGTTTGCAACAAGCCAGAAAATGGCCCCCGGAAAGCTTTGAACATTCAACCCCCGCTACTGATGGGGAATAGAAATCAACGTGGTTTAGGATGACCCTTAAAAGGGTCGTAATCGCATGCAGATACCACAGGAGGGTGGGGGGAAAAAAGGAAGCTCCTCAACTCACTTGGGCGTAATTCCTTGGCACCACTATCGTGACAAAGCACTTTTGTCTGAATGAAGCTCCTTAACGCAGTCGGACTTAGTTCCTTGACTCCAAGGTGCCACAGAATAATGGCAAAGCGCTATTGTGGTCAAATGCGCTTCTCAGATCACTTGGAAATAGTTCATTGACAGCAAAATGCCACAAGATGGCAGCGATGCACTGCTTGCGCTCAACAAACTTCCATGTCGTTCCTTGACAGCAAGTTGTCACAAAAGCGCCATTGAAAGCGCTACATCAACTGAATCTCGATCCTCTTGTCGAAAGGAAAGCTCTCAACGCACTTCAACATAGTTTCTCGCAGCACGTCGTTTGAAGCGGGTGAACGTGTTGATTGTCGGTGGGAATTGAGGGAATGTGAAAAAAATGCAAAGTCTTGAATTTTGTGAGAGCCGGCGTCGGACGCCAAGGCCGCCTCGGGGGCGGCTGGGAAACGGAATGAAAGCTTTCCCCCCAAGAAAAGACGTTTAGCGCGGGATGAGGACGCAAAAGTCACGGCGGCTCATTTCCGTCAAAATGATGAGACGGGAGAATTCCCAGCAGCCGCTTCCTGCTTGGTGTTGATGATTTTCTCATTTCGATTCACGGGACGCTCCGCCGCGAGCGCCTGCTTCTGTGTCAGCGTGTCGCCGCAGCTTTCTCACAATTTCGCCGGCGCCGTAGCGTAATTAACCTTTACTCTTCAACCTTGGTCCGAAATTTGACCAATCATCCTTCATGCCAACCGTGACCCTAATCCAGCGCTTCTTAACCCGGGTTCGATCGAGCCCGAGGGGTCGGGTGACTCGGTCTCAGGGCTTCGACGGAGCCTCTGCCGCGGAGGCTGAGACGCCCCCGACTCCAGATGTCAATGAGTTCTGACACGCCCGCTCGGCCGTCGCTGGTTGCAGACGATCGCGTGACACGGCTCGTCCAATCGGTGCTGCGGGAAATTGAGTTCGCTCGGTCATGACCGTGTGACCGTCGTGATAGGACGTCATACAATTTAAAAAAAAAAAACGATATGCCATGTCATGTTATTTTCTTTTTTTCTGTTTTTCATGTCTTGAATTTGTCGAAAATGCGATTTTTATTTTTCACTAATGAAGGGTTCGGCGAACGTGCATTCGAACTGGTTGGGGTCAGTACCTCGAAGAAGGTTAAAAACCACTGCCCTAATCCTTCGTACCGTCCTAACCCAAAACCCGAATAGAACCCCAACCTAACGCCACACTCACGCATCGCCCCCCATTGTTTCTCTCCAGACCCTCATAAAAGCGTCAACTAAAGTCTGTTAATCCTCAAGCCAAACCTTGATCAACCACTAACATAATCCTCCCCCTTAATGTGGATGTAATTTGAAGCCTTGACCTAATCCTAATCTAGCCTTTCCATCGACCCCTAGCCTCATCCAAACCCGAATCAAATTGGAACCCCCTCACGTCATTCCAATCGAATCTTCTCCGAAGCAAACGCGCGCAGCCCAATGGATTTTCCCCGCGGACGTCGTACGCGGCCCCGAGTGTCAATCGTTTTTTTCTCCTCAGCCTCAGGACGGCTACCGGCTGGTGCAGCACTTCCAGTTCATTGGCTGGCCGGCCTACAGGGACACGCCCCTTTCCAAGCGTTCCGTCCTGCAGCTGGTGCGGCGACTGGCCAAGTGGCAGGAGCAGTACGACGGCGGAGACGGCCGCACGGTGGTGCACTGCCTGTAAGTGCCGCAATGCCGCCTGACGAGTGCAACCCAGCGATTGTTTATTTTGCACGCGCCAAACGTCGTTTTGCGCGTTCGTTTCTTTTTTTTTTTTTTTGCAAGGAAGAGCGGACGTTGTGTGGAGTGGAACCACAGAATCCCTAAATGCGGTCCACGAGACCTTCGGACTAACGCGCCAGTTGCTGCCATGCAATTAATTATTCTAAATGATAAGAATTGTTAGGAATCCGACATGTAGAATTGACACCCATTGAATTATTGACACCGACTTGATTTTCAAGTCCTCAAATGTTCAAGAATAACAATAACGGTCTTTTTTTTTCTCAAGCTTTGATTGGAAGGGGAAGTGAAAAGCAATTTTTGGACTTGTTTTTCTTCTTCCGGTTTCAAAAAAAAGGGCTGGCGATCTCACTGAGTGAAAAATGCTCGCAGCACCAGTGAATGTTTTATTTGTCAGCTTCTCTGCCAAAAATCTTTCTTGACAAAAATGTGGGAGTCGCCCCGTGTCAGCGACTTTTCAGAAAGCGTATGCTCGCATGTTGCGAATGTTTTTTTCGTCAGGGTTCGTTCAAGGTTGCAGAGGGTCACAAAGACGTTCACCGACAGTCTGAACAATTTGCCACTTTTTGGGAACCTTTGAGACCATCTGCCAACTTCCAGAAAGGCATGAAATGTAAAGGTGCGCGGGCCCTTGCCCTGCTGTCCATCGTCAAAGAGGACAAATAAAATTGAACGCAAAAACTCTGACGGACAGGCCCTCGTCTTAAAACTTTCTCTCTTTTGTGTCTTTAAACTCCTCCAAACATGGGCCCTGCAACAAGAAAACAAGAATGACCTTTTGGGAACCCTGACAAAACAATTCACGTTTGCAAGCCTTGGCCGCTCAATGAGATTCAACCTTCCACGGTGTTGCACGGCACCGTTTCCAAAAGACTTGAAGAGCCGCCGTTCAGATATTTCGCTGCTTTTCCTTCCAAAATGAAGTCTTGTAAAGAAAGCGTGCGACTCCTGGCCGGGGGCGGCGTTTGCAAAGGCTTCCGTACGCCTTTGAGAGCGCAAAGAAAAGCGAGCAACGTCGGGCACGCGTCGTGCGGACATGAAGCTAAGCGCGAACGCCTGAAATGAAAGGACAAATCGCGGCGCCTTTCTTGCAAAGTCTGTTTATGAACCTGCGCTCACCCGCACGGGCATCCATTGAACGCGTTCCCACATACGGTCAAATGCAGCGCAAAAAGGTATTCACGAGGACTTTCCTTGTCCACGCACGGACGCGCGGGTCTTTGATGTCAAATGTGGCCATCGGTCATTCCAGATATTTAAAAGGCTTCTATTTGGAGATGTCTTTGATGTGAAAGTTGCCATCCTTTCACATGCTAATTAGCTCGTTAGCACTAGCTTAGCGGCATCGCTACGTTCCTACGCGGTGCTCCGTGCTAACGAGTTTCAGGGACGACATTTGAGGGAAAACAGATTCCTAAATCGCCCTAAACACCAACAGACTTCCGGCCGTTGCTTTGGAAGGTTTACAGAAAGGGAACGTAAGCGCAGGAGGACCGGTAAGAACAGCCACGGTCGGGCTTTCCGCAGCGACTCTCGTCTGACGAAAGGCGACGTCCGCGACCCACAATGCGTTGCGGTGACCGGATGGAGATTTTAAACGCAATGACCTTTTACGCCGAAAAACATGAATGATGTTTCAAATCAACAAATGTTCTGACCCCCTTTTTTTTCTTTCATGTAAAATGTCCCGAAACTTTGACCGTGGGCAGAACAATGTGCGGACGGGTTACTCCAGCGTTTAGGCATTCGAGAGCCTTTGACGTTCAAGTTGTGATCAGGCAATATGGCGATCAACAACGTTATTTGACGCCCAATGTGTCTTTGATGTCCCGTGGGTCATTTGTCCTTCCCCCCCCCGCCCCCCGCCCCCCGGCGCAGCACCGGCGGCGGGCGTTCGGGAACCTTCTGCGCCATGTGCAGCATCAACGAGATGATCCAGCAGCAGAACATCGTGGATGTTTTTCACACGGTCAAGACGCTGCGCAACAACAAGACCAACATGGTGGAGACCATGGTCAGCGACCGGTCGTCGCGTTGCTCACGTTTCTCCCATGACGGACGCGCGATTCACGCCCCGGTTTGTCTCTTTGTACAGGAACAATACAAGTTCTGCTACGAGGTGGCTCTGGAGGCGCTCAGCTCCTTCTGAACGGTCGCCGGGCATCTCGAGGCGACGCGCAAAGCGAGCGGTCGCCGGCCGCTCCGTGTCGGCTCCCGTCACATTGATGGGCGCAAAACGAGTTGAACGGAGCCCGTCGTCGTCGTCGTCCTTGTACAGTCGCTTCCGCTTTTGAATGTCGTCTCCCCCTGCAGGCCACGCGCACGCTTGTTGCCTTTGCGCTCGTTCCGCACGGGCCGTCCGAGACGCGAGCGCTTCTCATCCAATTTGCTCGTCCCGCGTGGGCGGAAGGTACCCGGCCCGGATGGGGCTTTACGAGTCGCTCCGCCGATTTGCGTCCGAAGCCATCGACGTGAAACGATCTCGGCGCGTGAAGCCGCAACGGTCGGTTGTTGGAAGAATCGCCGGCTCGACTGCGATACGAAGCCGGACCTTCCCTTGTTCTTTCCTGCGTGTGTGTGACAGGACAAGGGTGAAGGGTGAAGAACGTGGCCGCTTTGAAGTGGACCTGACGATTTTGCTTTGTGTCGAAAACAAACGATCTGAATGAGCGAAGCCATAACGGCGAGTTTCTGAAAGGGGCGGGTAACAAAAAAAAAAAACGCCGGCTCGACTGTGAGAGACCGTTTTGCGCCGTTT